ACCTATTAAGTGGAAAGTTCAGGGATCTCTTGATACCAAGCCAAGTACAGATCTGCTCATACCCATAAAACTTACTTCAGTTCAGTAAAATGTTAAAATATGTGTAAACCCCAACTGAATGACATTTTGCTCACTAAAGTACTGTGTTTCATAAACAATTGATTTCTTTTTTTTAAATAAATACCGTTTTCACCTTTTTAAATTTTTGTTTCCCCTTAATACTCAGTGGTTAGTCAAATTACTGATATAATGGGCCTCAAATGCAGTCACTGACATCAACCAGTCAACCCTCTTTACAAATCAGTCCTTCCTTATTTGTGCTCCTAACACCTCCTTAAAATATTACTTATGACATATTTGATGTTACTCTTTCTCTCGAGAGCGAGATCCATTATATAGAAAGAATTGAGGAAAAAAGAAACGAAAAAAAAAAAAAAGGGATAAACAGCACCTGTCATTTCCTTTATCCACCTCCCGTCTGGCCGTTGTATATAAACGGCCGGACGGTGGCAGTGCAGGGGCGGGTGACAGTTTATAAACGGCCTCCCCGCCCCCCCCTTGTGCGTGCTCCCTGGAAGCGCGCAGCACTGTGATCTGGTGCCCGCTGTGTCCTCCAGACATAGTGGAACACCAAACGTCGTACGGGACCTCTGTGTGAGGTCCCGATCCTGTGATCACTGATTGGCCAATCAGTGATCACATGCAGAGTAGTAAGCAAGATGTCACTTCTGACATCATTGCTTACTACATGTGAAATCTGTGAATGATCACAGAGATCACATGGTACAAGGTTATTCACAACAGCCTTGTACCATGTGATAAGCTGTGACCAATCACAGCTCCCACAGTATTTCTCAATGGCTGCAAGAATGCAGCCACAGAGAAGGAGAAATGATTGCTTTTACAGCCTTTATAGGTGTAAAAGCAATCAGTGTTAAAAAAAAAAAATAATCTTCATCACCCCCCCACAAGCAATACAGTGTTACCATGGTGACACTGTACTGCTAGGGTGACAGTATGTAAAAAAACAAAAAAACATAAATAATAAATATAAAAAAAATAAAATAAAAATGTAAAAAAAATTAAAAAATTATACTTTTGATTATAAACTAATTTGGGTTATTTTTTTTTTTTACTAAAAAGATAACTGAATAAATTTTGGCCAAGATTTATGATGAAATATTATTTATTTGCAAAATTTTATAAAAAACACTTTTTTAAAAAATGTTTGGAATTTTCATTTATATAGCAAAAAAAAATAAAAATCCCAGTGGTGCATAAATACCACCAAAATAAAGCTTTATCTGTCTCAAAAAAATGCTAAAAAATTCATATGGGTACAGTGTTGCATGACCTGCGCAATTGTCATTCAAAGTGTGATAGCACTGAAAGCTGAAAATTGTCCTGGACAGGAAGGGGGTAAAAGTATACGGACTGGAAGTGGTTAAAAAAAAGTGTGTTGCTTTTACTTATTTGCTTTCCCACTTCATAGTCCTAAGGCACTGGTGACATAGTCCAGGCTGCACAGATGAAGAAGACGTCACTGGTGTATTCAGGGACACCTTGTTCCTAAACTGTGAAGTGTTCCTGTACAGCACAATGTCATGTTGTGCCTCATCTCACACATGTGCTGTAAAACATTAAACTCATCTGTTCAGGAAAAAACATTTCTACCCAAGATAGGATCTCCAGGAAGGACTTTTTTCCCCAACACCTCCAAGTTTGAATAAAGTGATATTGAAATCTTTTTTATTAATAAATTAGATAACAATTTACATGCATTTACTTTTTTTTTTTTATATATATAAATTTCCTCCTCTGAGCTCCCTCTTCAAAACTCTCCCCCTGGCCACACTGCCATACTTCTGTTCTATGTGTGCCCCCTGTGCAACCAGAAGCAAATGCAGTCCTGTAAGAGTCCCCTCTATGTAAGCACTCCCATTTGGAAGTACAACTGTACATGCAGCCATTGAGAGCAAAATGCACAGAGGGACACAGCCACTGTCAATCACCACTGTGGAGGAAGAGGAGGAGAGGCTTGCGCTCTGCGTCCCTCTCGCACTTCCTGTGTGTGCAGTGCTCTGAGCAGATGTGTGTACGGCTGTAGTTTCAAGCAGGAGCCCCAACGTAGGAGGCTCTGTGGGACTCTTTAAAAAAAAAAAAACAAAATAACAAAGATGTCATACTTACCTGTGCTGTACAGTGGTTTTGCACAGAGCAGCCCTGATCTTCTTCTCGGGTACCCCACAGGCGCTTCTGGCTCCAACCTCTTGACCAGTGCCTCTATAGCAAGCTGCTTGCTATGGGGGCACTGGTGCATACTTGCTCCCGAGCCCTGGTCTATGTATTCATAGAACACATAGAGCTGTGGCTTGGCCCTGCCCCCCACTCTCTCCTCATTGGCTCACTAGCTGTGATTAACAGCAGTGGGAGCCAATGGCTCCCACTGCTGTCTCAGCCAATGAGGAGAGGGAGTCCTGGGACAGCCAAGGTTCTTGTGCACATTGCTGGATCAAGAGGGGGCTCGGGTGAGTATTGGGGGGAGCAGCACATAGAAGGTTTTTTACCTTCATGCATAGAATTCAGCCTCTACAACCACTTTAAAGAAGTAAAGCCAAAGCTCTTTTGGTCATACTTCTGTGGATCACTGGAGTTCAGTTCGTTCTGCACTCCTGTGACCCATCTTCAGCTGAGAGCGAATTGAAGTCTGCCGTCAGCTGACATCACTCAGCTGGTCCAGGCTGGGGAAAGATCCTAACTTTAAAGTCGGGATCCACCCCAGAGTCTGGAACAGCACCTGGCTAGCCTCTCAGTGATCTGCTGGGAACCTTAGCCAGCCGCTACCTCCCCCTTCACAGTTCAGTGCTCCGGTGAGCATGGGGGGAGGCAGAGCAGACAAAGTGACTGACAGTCCCGCTCTCTGCTCAGAGTGAGAAATCAGCAATCAGTGGTCATGTGATTGCTGAGTTCTCACACTTAGAGCCAGCAGGGGACATATGCAGCATTGGTACGCTGCTACATCCATCCAGGTAAGTATGAGTTCAAAAAAAAAAAATAAAAGAAATCCCACACTTCTCTTTTAAATCTGCTAGAACATCTAACACTCCCCTCTCCCTAGACTGACAATGTTGCTGTATGCAGTGTCCCCTCTGCTCCATCATCCAGAGTGCAGGCACCCTAATACAGGAGGTGTGTTACTGGCCAGATCACCAGGTGAAAACAGAGGGGAAAAGCCTGAAAAGAAAATGAATGCAGCCATCATATCTAATGATTGGTAAGCTGCAATACATCACATTTTGGGTTTAATACCACTTTAATGTGTTAAAGGATAAGTTCACCTTTGGGAATACGTTACATGTTCTACCCGTGTTTAGGATGCACCAGCCCACTTCATCATTCTCAAAACTTGACTTTTATTAGTAAAACTGTGGTAAGTAATATACGCACACCAGTAAATCTCAAGACAAGTGAGCGCTTAAAACAACTTATAAAATCAATAAGTGAACAAAATTAAAACGAGAAAATAGCAGCTGAACACCAAAAAGGTACCATAAAAAACCTTCACAATAATCAGAATGCATAAAAGGGAGAGGTGCAGCGCTAACTTGATAAATATACACTTATATAATTATATAAACCAATGTTAAGGTGCTGTTAAAGTGCAAAACGGTGACTAAAAATAAGTATAGTCCATAACGTGTTCAAAACCCAAGAGAGTCTTCAAAAAAGCTCCAATGCCTGGATTCGTGGATGAGGTGATAAAAGTATAAAGATTGCGCACTCACCAGATACGCAATCCAAATGCGCATTCAAAGCAGATAATCCTAGGGTCCTCATATGGATCTGGTCAGATCTGGTCACAAAAGCCCCTCGCCACTTGATGGTGTTTGCCACGCATAGAGGAAAAAAAAAAGGCCGCTCTGCAGATGTAAAGGGCTCCCACCGGAGCCCAAAGAACAAAGGAGGCCAAATAGTGTGATACCTTATAGGCAAGGGGTATTTATTCCCAAAGACACACAGTATACAAGCAGAGGCAGGAGAGATACTGACCATACAAAGATAACAAATGGCCGCCGGGGCCCTCGTGGCGCCGGTCGGCGTGACGTCACACCGCTGTAGCCGCTTCCTGACGCGTTTCGTGCGAAGGCACGTAGTCATAGGGGGTTAGCACCATCAAGTGGCGAGGGGCTTTTGTGACCAGATCTGACCAGATCCATATGAGGACCCTAGGATTATCTGCTTTGAATGCGCATTTGGATTGCGTATCTGGTGAGTGCGCAATCTTTATACTTTTATCACCTCATCCCACGAATCCAGGCATTGGAGCTTTTTTGAAGACTCTCTTGGGTTTTGAACACGTTATGGACTATACTTATTTTAGTCACAGTTTTGCACTTTAACAGCACCTTAACATTGGTTTATATAATTATATAAGTGTATATTTATCAAGTTAGCGCTGCACCTCTCCCTTTTATGCATTCTGAATATACGCACACCGACAGCTGAATCAAAGCTTGTCCTAGTTAAACAGCAACTTCCAGTCCACCATACATCACATCACATAGTGGGACACATGGAAATCCAAGAGACTAAAGCATTTCGAGGACTTGCCTCTTCCTCAGAGCCAACAATTCCATTGGTCACTGGTGCAAGACTCTCCAGGCTCAAAAAAAAGTGTAATACAAATTTTTTACCTGCCAAAAAATTAGCATTTTTTTTTTTAACCACTGGCTTACAGGGCACTTATAACTCCTTCCTGTCCAGGCCAATTTTCAGTGCTGTCATACTTTGAATGACAATTGCACGGTCATTCAACACTGTACTCATATTAAATTTTTATCATTTTTTGAGACAGATAGAGCTTTCTTTTGGTGGTATTTAATCACCTCTGGGTTTTTTATTTTTTGCTAAACAAACCAAAAACAACTGAAAATTTTGAAAAAAAAAAGTTTTTCTTAGTTTCTGTTATAAAATTTCGTAAATAAGTGATCTTTCTCCTTCACCGATGTGCGCTAATAAGGTTGCAGTGATGGGCACTGATAGGCTGCACTGATGGGCATTTTTAGGCGGCACTGATGAGGAGGCACTGGTAGGTGGCACTGATAGGCAGCACTCATATATGGCACTGACTGGCACAGATAGCTGGCATTGAAAGGCAGCTCAGATGGGCACTGATATGTGGCATTGATGTGCACTGGTAGGCACTGATATGTGGCATTGATGTGGCACTGACAGGTAGCATTGATGAGCACTGACAGCTGGCATTGATGGACACTGACATGTGGCACTGATGGGACTACACTGATCATCAGGCACACTGTAAGCTGTCAGCTCGTGACAAGAGAAATGACAATAACCGGCATTTCCTTATTTACATGCAATCAGCTGTGATTGGACACAGCTGATCACGACAGAGCCGAAATCTTCGGCTCTTTCCGTTGATCGGTGATCCGCTGTGTCCCAGGGACACAGTGCACCACCAATTGCCACGCTGCGCGCCACTGTGGGCCACGCATATGCAGTTAGAGTGGGAGCACGTCATATGACGTCCTCCCAGAACGAGAGAACCGCCTTGCGCCCATCATTTCCTTATATGGCGGGCAGGAGGCAGCTAGAGGAACATCCTTTACCACCTCCTGCCCGCCATATAAGGAAATGACAGGAGGTGGTTCTCTCATTTTGAGAGGACGTCATATGACATCCTCCCACTCTAACCCCACAGGACGCGCAGCGTGCGGACGGAGGTGCACTGTGTCCCTGGGACACAGCAGATCACTGATCAGCAGAAAGAGCCGATGACTTTGGCTCTGTCATGTGATCAGCTGTGTCCAATCACAGCTGATCGCGTGTAAATAGGGAAATGCCAGTTATCTGCATTTCTCTGCTCACGAGCGGTCACGCTGACCACTCGTGAGGAGTGGAGAGCCGGTAATTGGCATTCCTCGGAGGGTACATGTACACTGATCATCAGGACACTGATGATCAGTGTAGCCCCATCAATGCCACCTGTCAGTACCCATCAGTGCACATCAATGCCACATATTAGTGCCCTCTGAGCTGCCTTTCAGTGCCACCTATGAGTGATGCCAGTCAGTGCCGCCTACCAGTGCCATATATCAGTACCCATCAGTGATGCCTGTCAATGCCCATCAGTGCCACCTACCAGTGCCTCCTCATCAGTGCCGCCCATCACAGCAGCCTCATTAGCGCACATCAGTGAAGAAAAATTACTCATTTACAAAATTTTATAACAGAAAACTTTTTTTCAAACTTTTCAGTTGTTTTTGGTTTGTTTAGCAAAAAATAAATAACCCAGAGGTGATTAAATACCACCAAAAGAAAGTGCTATCTGTCCCAAAAAAATGATAAAAATTTAATATGGGTAGTGTTGCATGACCACGCAATTGTCATTCAAAGTGCGACAGAGCTGAAAATTGGCCTGGGCAGGAAGGGGGTGAAGATGCCCGGTAGGCAAGTGATTAAAGCTCATATGAGATTACAGTTGGGTGTCAACTCCCTCTTATTCCATAGAAAGCCAAGCAGACATGTGAGCAATGATTGTCTGCACCACTGAGACGTACAGACTGTATCAGAAGAAAGAGTCTGCAGCAGCTGTGTATGACAACCAATCAGCTTCTATCTTCAGCTAATTCAGTTAAGCTTAGAAAATGAAAGCTAGTAGCTGATTGGTTGACTGCTCCAGACTCTGTCTGCTCCACTTTGGATAAATTCCCTTCCATGGTTTAGCAGTCGAGTCAATAAATGGGGGATTCCATGTAGGTGAAGTCTCCCTTCTCTGCCCAGAGCCCCGTAACGGAGAGAAGCTCTCTCCTGCTGTCCCAAGCGAGTCTCTGTTATATCACTGAGACACTCTCCTTCCTCTCTCTATCCCGGGGGAAACAACTAAAGCGACTCCACACACCGGAAATGAGCTCCGTGGACCAACAACACACTTTACATCCGCCCTCACAGCACCCCTGCATTATAAACCCGAACCCCTATTCCATGTAGGAACCCAAATACACGATACTCACGGTTACCGGCTCCTTTTCCTGGAAGCGCCACACCTCCCAGGGGTCACTTCCGCTTCGCTGTAGGAAAGTGACGTCTCCTTACAAGAACAGCGGCCATTTTTCTTGTGGTCACCGCTGCCTGATTAAGTTTACAAACGGCCGTGGAAGGATGATATGTTCTATTTCCTACTCTAGATGCTAAATAACTGCTGAGGCGGTATTATTTCTCTGGTCATTGAAAGGATTATTTAATACAGGAAGCCCAAAAGAAGAGTAATGCCTTTATCAAATATGGCGTCGGTGTGGAAAGTGGTGACTAGACCTTCGAAAGTAAAAGCTGAGAGGATAAAGTATTGCTGTGAATTATATTCTGGGCTATGAGGGTTACATTGTACAGAACTGCTGACGTTCAGGCCATGTGCAGCCAGCATTAGTGTGAGAAGCACACAAGACCTGGAGCTGTGTATTCAATGCCTCAGTTTATATGAGACATGGGCTGTACAGTGATGGCGGTGTGTAGTGATGTATGCATACCATACAGCAATGCATAGCAGTAGGCTTCCTTTTGAAACACTTTATAACTTGTGCCATGAGAACCGCTAATGGACAATTCACGCCTTTGTGGTGAACACCTTGCACGGCCAATCACTGAGGTGAATTAGACCTTGTTCACACAAGAGTACAGTAGCATATGCCTGTGTGAGAGCTGCCTTGTCCCAGGCGGGAGTGCATAGGTGTTCCATGCAGGCAGTCCCATTCATGTCAATTGGGATGCAGAGGCTCTATGGGCACAACTGCTGCTCCTAAAATGACAGCTGTGTGGGTGCGTGTCCCTGAACTCACACTGCCTGTGTTTGGGGCCACACCAGTATGGCTGTTACATTGGGAGCAGCTTCTGTGTCTGTGCAGCCTCTGCCTCCCACTTGACATGACAGGGACTGCCTGCATGGATCACCTGTGCATTCATAAGCGGGCAAAGACAGCCCTCAAATGGATGTACACTTTAATACTGCAAAGAATCGCATGTGATTTGCACAGGAATGTGGTGTGATTCCTGTCCGAATTGCATGTGATTTCCCCCACCGCTCCTGTGTGATCCATGCTACTATAGAAAGAGAAGCCACATGAAGTGCAGCAATTGGAAAACAAACAGGTTAAAATGTTATCACAACTCATGGAAAAGTGCTTAAAGCAGTAAATAATCAATAGAGAAGATAGGACTTTCAGGGTGCATAGACATGAATACCACACATTAAAAGTTATATAATTTTTATTTCGTATTTTGGTAAAACAAGAAAGGAAAAGATACAAAAAATTAAAACAATTTCAATTCTAAGAAAACCAACTGAGATTCAGACTTGGTTAGGTAAATGTAGTATACTCCCTACATGTTTCGCTCTCACGGGCTTCTTCAGGGGCGATTTTTGAGGAACTTTCTACCACCAAGGCAGTCCTGGATGTGAAAGCTCAGAGCTAGAAGAAAATTACCTAAAAAATCTTATTTGGCCTACACGTCCAAAACAGTTGTAGAGGATATAATGGGCATCAGATATCATCTGTTAAATGCTTTAGGATATATAGGTATAACCTAACAAAGATCTATTTGACCTATATGTTCACAACCATAAGAAAGGAAACAATGGACATCAAACATCCATCTATGGAAATTGCAGAGAAATATGGAAATATGTTCTGTCTAGAGGTCTAATTGGCCTAGAATGTCCAAATAGGGTTGAAGAATATAATGGGCATCATATATCCATCATCATATTGGGGTAATATATTGCAATATATCCAAAATAGCAATTCAAGGAAAATGTAGGGAAAAAGGATTTTAATTGAGGATCAATTTTCAATTCCACCACCAGATATCAGTAAAGGACAAAAGTCCAGACGATATTAGCTCCGTTCAGATCCAATACAGCCTCCAAGATACTCAGTGTGCACTGGTGATTAGCAGAAAGCAGTAGTAAACTGCATCCAAAAAAAATCCCCTGTAAAGAAAAACATGGACGTTTCCAGGCACCCCCCTTTTCCTCATGGGATGGCAGCGGATAGGTTTCTAGTCTCCCTCAGGGTTTAAAATGAATGGGAGAAAGGTGATTGGCCAAAATGGATCAGCTGACTGGGAAGTTCTAGGGGGGCTCAATCAGGATTGGTCAAAAAGGGTCACTTGACCTCCCCAAGAACCCCATAAAAGGAAGAGACGTCGTGGGCTCCGGGCCAGTCGCCAGAGGAATTTGGAGCACCCCCCCCCCCCCCCCCCTCCCTCGTCACAACTGGTTTATGTGGTGGATCCCTTTCTAAATACCTTTGAAAGGGGACTGGTAAAAAAAAAAATGATTAATTAAAAAACAGTTTAAATGAAATTACAGCTCGAGCCTTAATGACTGGACTGATGTGGTTATGTCATTAAAATTATGGATTTGAAATAAAAGTTATATTTATGATTTGTTAAAGCTGTGAAAACCAATAAACAAGGCCGCAGCCATTATCCAGCCAAGATGGTTGTTATGTAATTTTGGTCTGGAGGATTATTCCGTCTGCCATCCCCTGCAAGGTAAAGGTATAATGTGTTAGTATGCATCGCCTACTAGAACATTGTGTAAAACGTACCTTAAAACCAAGACCTCCAGAGGCGAGCTGTCACCGCTGTAGAGGCTTCCATCTTTGCCTGGTCTTCCTTCCGGGTTCGCAAGCTCCGACTATCTGACTGGCTGTGATGACATCACTCCCAGTCATGTGCTGCCTCTGAAAAAAAAAAGAAAGATCTAAACGGTGCACATTTAGGAGACATTCATTTTACTTCAGGTAAGCTTTATTAAAGGCTTATCTGTAGTAAAAATTACCAAAGTGGCTTTACTACCACTTTAATATCTTGCATGTCAAATCCAAAATGGCCGCTCACAGTGCTGGAGGAGAGGTGTAGGCAATCCGCCCCCAAGCTGACATCGCTTCCATCCTATTCCCATAAGGGTCGGGAACTTCCTACCTCTCCTCCAGCCCTGTGCGCACCACAAGCGGCCAGTTTTGGACATGCAAGATATTGGGAACAGTGTGAAGCTTGATTCACCAGACCATATTACAGTCTTCCATTGATCGATAGTCCAAAATTTATGGGTGTTGCACCACTCTCTCCTCTTCTGAGCATTAATATCCATCACTAGTGGTTTGGCAATTGCAGTTCGCCCATGAATGTTTTGCTTATGGAATTCCGTCCGCATACAGTTTTGTGGACACGGGCTTTGGAAGACTTAGATTGAGCTTTGCAGTCACTTTTGCAGCAGTTGTTTTTTTTCTGGGTCACAATCCAGCACAATGTTCTTCAGTCCAGCCTTTCTCAACCAGGGGTGCCTTGAGGTTTCTTTAGGGGTGCTTTGGCAAAATGTCTAAAAACTGCCCAAAAACTTGTATAAAAGCCAGTGGCTGCCTTTTAGTTATAACAAAGCCACAGGTTTTCATTAAAACCTTCCAGCCGCTGGTGTCCTGACAACCAATGACATCA